CCCCCCCCCCCCCCCCGCAAGAAAGCAGGAAGTTCTGTCTCTCTTGAGTCTGGGGTCTCAGGCCCCAGGTGACCAAGTGCTGAAGGGATGACAGAGCTCCCCCCTCCCCCGCCAGGTGGCCCGGCCCTGCACCAAGCCTTGTGCCTTGTCACAGCTTCCGCCCTCCGCGTGAGGCCCAGGGGCCGAAAAGCACTTGCATTCCAGACCACTGTGGACAACACACTGTTGTGTAAGGAGATCTTCATGCGGCAAATAAAGGAGGCTCCAGAAGAAACCAGAGCCGTGGCCGTTCCCAAGCAACCTGCACCCGATGGGCTCAGCAGAAAGCCAGCGCACTGAAGAGCTGAGGCTGGGGAAGGGCCTTGACCAAGGCCAAGCCTGAGGTATGGGAAGGGTTCAGGCAGGAAGTGGTTGGCTCCAGGGCCTTGGAATACTGGCACAGCATGCCCCCAGGAATGCAGAAAGAGGGAGGGGGCTCTTCCTCCCCTTCTTCAGGGAGCCACCGCGGAGGTTAACACCCACTAACCCCGGAAGCAGATCATGCCAGGACTTTTGTTTCCCACACTGGCCCCTGGGGTCCTCCTCTCCGCACATCTTCCCAACCCCGCTACTGTTCAGAGTGAAGAGCAAGACAGATCTCCTTCCCAAGACTGCCCAGTCCTCTCACTCTTCAGCTGGCCGTGTGTGTGTGTGTGTGTGTGTGTGTGTGTGTGTGTGTGTGTGTGTGTGTGTGTGTGTTTTCCGGAAGAGGGGTCAGGGGCTGAAGAGAGGACAACCCTTGGCCACCTGCTGGTGAGCTGCTGAGGTCACTGATCAGTCCCTCCCTGAGCCTCCCAAAGACTTTTGAGGGCAAAAGGAGGAAAAAGACATCCAGTAGGGATTCTTGCTCACACCAGTCTGCAAACACTCCCCTCCCCCAGCAGCCATTCCAGAAAGACCATTCCAGATTCAGAGCCTCCCTCCCTCATGTGCGCGCAGGAACCTTCTCAGGTTCAACAAGGCAGACCTCACAGGAGGCTGGAAATCAAGAGTATAATTTGGTTGTTGCTGTCACAGCGATGGGCAGGTCGTGTGTGCGCAAGGCTGTCTGGTGGTGGAACAGAGTAAGGAAAGGCGGCCACTGTTAAAAGTGGAATTCAGTCTGGAAAGGGGAACGCGGAAGAGAGCCGGGTGCCCATGTGGAAGGGAAGCGGCATTCCTAGAGGACCACGGGTCACCGGGGGTCACTGAGTTGTCACTAAGGGTCCTTACTCCAGGCCTCTGGTGCCACCACTGCTACCAGAGGCCTCCCCTCAAGCTCCCAGAAAGTCACCAGAAGGACCTTGATGGTTGGATGAAGCAGGGCCTCTCTTCCTTGGGGTCCCGTTTGTTTCTCCCGTGTGCCTGCCGCCTGCAGCCCTCTTCCCGGGGCTGCCCTCCTCCCCTGCCCAGCCAGCTTCTCACTGTTGCTCTGGATGCTCTTCCATCTCTCCGCTTTCACAGAGCAGGGGAGGGCTCACCACGTGGCGTCTGAAGGTGGTATGCTCGTCCTTCTCCTCGCCCTCCTGCCAGGCACCCCTGTGCCCTTCTGCGAGAACCACGGTGTTTGAGAGGCAGGCTGGGCTGACGAAGGAAGTGGCCCTGGGCTTCCCATCTTGTTCAAAGCCTGCCTTGCCTCCATGTTGGTTCTTCTTCCCAGAGAGAGCTCTTCTTTGTCCTGTCCATCCCAGACTCCCCAGACCTCAGGCAAGGCCCTGAGGCCAGAAAGCACCCTCTTGGCCGCACAGCCTTTATCTCCCCAACCATTCTAGGCCCCTCCCTTCAGGGTCCCTCCCCACTTGCTGCAGAACCCTCTTCTCCTCATCTCCATCCATCAGCGAGCCGGTGGACTTTCGTAGGCACCACCACGCAAAGGCACAGGAAGCCTGGCACATCGTAGGTGCTCAATAAATATTTGTGGAATGAATGGACGGAGAGCCCTGGCTCTAGACTCATTGCTTTAATACCCATTGCACCCTACCTAGGCACAACCCAGACATTTGACCTTGCCCCTACTTTTGCAGCCCCATCCCGACAGACAAATCTGCGTGAGAAACTTTCCCAAGAGCTGTATATCAGGTTTCCACCATGTTCAAGCTGCCTGCCGGCCTTGCCTGTCCCATCTACGGCCTGGGAGCAGACGGACCTCAGCTGTTTCCAGTCCTGCTAAAAGATGCAGCACTTCTGGAGTATTCCACCGTGGACTCCTCTGTAGTCCGCACCGAGCGCTTCTGTAGGGGTCAGTTGAGCGCTTGATGCCTCTTTTTCCCATCTCAGGTATCACCAATCACTGGAACCCTCCACTCCTTTCTTGAACTCCTTCCAATTGGCCACAGCTGCCCGGTCACAACTATCCAGGCCGTCCCTGTGAGCACTCCCGCTCATCTGCCCACACCCCTCCCACAACACGCTCCATCCTTTTTCATGGAAAATTCTTCTGCCTCCAGCCAAGCGGCCTCTACTCTGTACGCTTCCATGCTGTCTGTGTCCAAGCCTCCCTAGGCTTAGCCTGCCTGTCGCCTGTGTCCAAGCCTTCCTGGGCTTAGCCTGTCTTCCATTAGATTCAAACCTCCCCACCAGACCTCTTCCTTCAGCTAACACTTCTTTCAAAAACACCTTCTGCCGGGAAACTTCTGCAAGGGCTTTGCCGTCTGGAGAAGGCCTGCTCACTGGCGCTGTCATCCCACCAGGCTCGCCTGGAGTCCGAGCCCCAGCCGGCCGCTGAGCTCAGCTCTTCTCTCCAGTGCTCCATCCTACAACTTTCCCTTTTCCTTTTTATCACCAAGGCGGCATGTGCTCATCCCAGCATTTAAGGGGAGTCCAGAGTGTGAGTCCCTCTTCTGCTACCCTAAATTCCATTCTCTGGGAGGGAGAAGCACCCAGGCAGGGGGGTCGTTTCCCCTATGCACAGACACGGGGGGGGGGGGGGGGGGCGCTGCTGTGTGTGTTGTTCTGTGGTCTGTTTCAATCTTCTTGTCTGAAAAGTTCCGTGTAGGTTGATACCCGCCTTATCACTCCATCAAGACTGCATTGCACTTCACCGTATAGGTACATCATGCCCAGACTTTCCCACCACTGCAGCTCAGTTTCTTAAGGCTGCTATGACTTCCTTGCCCCTGGAGCTGCGCGGTTAGAGCAGCATTTCTGTGGAATAAAGTCTCTGAAGTGGAATGGCTCTTCAGGATTTTTGATTCTGTTTAAATATCCCACCCAAACACAACAAAAGCTGCTCTGGGTCCTATGCACCCCAACACTGGGGTGCGTAAATGTGCCCCTGCATATGGGGACCTGACAATGGGTCCTTTACAGTGGCCTTCAAACTCTGCTTCCACACTACCACTGCACACAGATGTCTCATCTCTTTCTCAAGCCTCCCCGCCCCCCACCCCACCCCGCCTCTGCAGCTCCGCTGATCTAGCTCCTTCTGCCCCACTCTGAAGGTTGTTTCCTAAAACCTGCCTGCTCTGACTCCAGTTTCCCCAAGAGCTCAAGGTCCCTTCTGGGTCTCTGACCTCTGCAGCTCAGCCTGGCAAGAGAAAGCAGCCACACAACTTAAAGCTACCCAGTGACGGAGGCTGCCCAGGCTGAGGGTACAGAAGACAAGAGCCTTTTCATTCATGCATTCTACAAATATTTATTGAGTACCTAGTGAGTGCCATCAAGGCTGCTGTTCCCAACCAGGTTGAGTCAGCCTTGGAAGGGGAGGCAAGCACTGATGAGGTCTCCCTGGCTTCATAACACAGTGCCTTCTAACATAACTGATCTTCATAACACAGTGCCTTCTAACAGTCATTAGCACTAAATACAATCTTGGAGACAGCATCATTGCATCCCTTCTCTAGCTAAGGCTGCTGGCTCCTTGCTTGACTATCCTTGAACAACTTGCAAGAGTCATTCCCATGACTAAGGGAGGTGTTGTATCAACACTAACAATATCCTTTTTGTGGACTTTTCTCAACTGTACATGAAGCTCAGAGCTGTATTGGACCCTTTCATACTGCTAACTGTGGGGATGTAGTTCTAGCCACAGGAAAACCAGCACCATAGCCCCCGCCGATGCTCAACTCAGCTCTAGACACACAAATCTTGTTGTAAAGGTGGCTCTTGCAGTTATGGACTATGTGGTTGGAAGACCACAACAGGAAGATTTAATGTGTTATACTCAACTGCTAAACCAGGACATCAACTACCTCCAACTGACCTGGGCTCAGTTTTAACAGAAGGGTTTCATCTGCAGCTCAGCAGCTCGCCCGCCACAGTTTGGACATCAGAAGGCTGTTGGTGCTCTTGAACGCAGACGGTGACAGCAGTGTCACACCAACAGGAAAGACGTTCATTAGTCCACTCCGCTCTGCGGCTCTGTGTGCTACCATGACCTCTAACAGTGGTGCCAAGGCTGCTGCCTTCCAGCTTGTGACCTTGGAGTTAAGGGAGAAGCATGGATCAGACTTTCCTTATCTCAAAGCACTCAGGCTTGAGGGGCCACCATGTGATTGCACCCGGAAACTTTCCTAATCTTCACAAAGTTGCAAATATGAGGAAGTGAAGAACTGACGGGGCGTTATGGATTATAGGTAGGGACGCTGAGGATGTGCCTTGGCAACCACGGATAAAGAAGAAAGATCTGTCAGGGCTAGATGCTGTTGGAATCAAGGAACTGTTTGCTGCCACTGATCCAGGACCTCTTCAAGCTGTTCCAGAGGCACCATCCCCCAGGGCAAACCTTCTTCAAACTCAGACGCATTGAGAACCCATGTTAACATATTAAAAACAAACAAAAAACGCCAGTGTCCCTTGCATGTACCCTGACCCCAGCTGCCTGACCTGGAGGGTCAGAGAATACCCACCCCCAGGGAATGCCATTGGAACAGTGTTCTGAATGATGGCCAGGTTGTGATGAAGCAGGTGGGGATCGCACTCCACAGTGGAACAGAAGACTGAGCCAGGAGGGAGGGGCATCCAAATTTGAGAATAAAGTTTGCTGCTCAGCTGAGGCCTGGATGAGGCCTTTTGGATAGCCAAGCAGGTGGAATGGATGTGTGTTTTATGTAATTCCTGCTCTTGACTTTGTCTGCATGCCTAGCCATGGAAAATAATAAAAGCAAAAACACTTGCTCCATCTCCCAGGTCCTTGGGCTTGTCATACACTGACAGGAAGAAGTGGAATGCAAGTGTTTCCCTCCTCTTGCCTCCTTCTGTCACCTCAGTTAAATCTCTACATATCTTTTGCAGGTGTGAGGTGGGGGTCTCTCCTGGCCAGACCTCAAAAATCTTCCTACAAGTTGTAAGTAACTGTTGCCACTCTGGGGTTGGTCCTGGGTTTTGGCACCGAAATGAGTGTTGCCACTCTGGGGGAAAGGTATCCTGACTACCTGGGGAGTCAGGCGACACCCTGAGCTGCTAGGACAGCTCTGACAGCTGGAGATGCAATGGGACCGCTCAGCTCTGGAAGGGAAAGGTATCCTGACTGCTGGGGAGAGTCAGGTTGTACCTTGAGTTGGGGTGTGGGAGGTGGGGCATGGTCTCCCTGCAGGATATAGCAATCCTGCTCCTCTCCTGGAGAGCCTACAGCTGAGCTTTGCTCAGCCCCCACATAAGGGAGCTTCCTAGCAGAGCTCTGCGTCTTCTCTGGCCTAAGATGTTGCTTCTTTTGCTTCACTCTGCAAAAGGGGAAAGCCCTGCAGAAATGTAGCCATCTCCTCCAGCTCCAGAGAAAAGTGTTACTTTTTCAGCTCCCCCTTGTTCAGTCCCCTGAGGGACATCTCAGCAAGGTTCTTCTCTGTGCCGGTGAGTGAAGACCTTCACACTCAGAACTCTTTTGAGAAAGAGATTTATTTTGGAAGGAGGAGTTCAGGAAAGTGGCTGCATCTACCAGGGTGGAGAGAACAGCCCACAACTGACCAGGCAGGGCAGTTTATATAGGATCTCTTGGGGGCAGAGTCAACCAGGGATTGCTTAGTTTTGTGGGTTAGGGCCAGAGATGGCCCTGATTTCAGAGCGAAATTGTGTTTCTTTCAATGGCCTTTCTTGGCTTTTTGACACTAATTCTAAGGCCAGGGCACATTTCTTTCACTGCCTCTCTAGGGACCAAGAATGTTTCTTTGGTATTGGTTTCAGAGTCAGGGCATGTTTCCTTGGTTCTGGGTTTGGGGATAAAGTGTTCATTTCTCTGGCTCTGGTCCCAGACCCAGGCTGTGTTTCTTTCCCTGGTTCTGGGCTCCAGGGCCAGAGTGCTACTTTCCCACTCTGTGGTTGGTTGGTTTCACTGGTCAGTTGGCCAGGGGCAGAGATGGCTCTGATCTGAGCTAAACTATGTTTCTTTCACTGGCCTTTCTTAGCTGTTTGACTCTAATTCTAAGGCCAGAGCATATTTCTTTCACTGGTTCTGCTTCTAGGGACCAAGAATGTTTCTTTGGTACTGGTTTCAGAGTCAGGGCATGTTTCCATGGTTCTGGGTTTAGGGATAAAGTGTTCCTTTCTTTGGCTCATGTCCCAGATCCAGGCTGTGTTTCTTTCCCTGGCTCTGGGCTCCAGGGTCAGGGTGGGTTTATTTAGCCAGCCCCCTTTCCCTATACAAGCCATTGGCAAGAAAGCCTCTGGGTTCCGCAAAGGCAGATGCTCAGGAAGACACGGTTGACTTGGAAGCTTGACTCCTTCCTGGCTTTACCAAATCTTCCCTTGATTCCTGAGGCATGAGAACCAGGTCCCACCTGCGGACTGGGCTTGCCCAGTGTGTATTTTGCTACCCACTGCTCATTTCTGCTCTTGGAGTCTAGGCATCTCTCAGTAGAGCCCCCAAAACACTAATCCCTTTTTATCAGAGGTGCTGCCCAAACTCCCCAGAAACCACCACCAAACGTGACCGTGGCCTCCGGCCTCTTCATCTGTGTAACTTAAGTTTCTCCAGAGGGTGGTGGTTCGTCTGCTGGCTGCCCCATCTGGCTACCCAAAAGCTTCCATGGGCATTACCAGCATGCTGGGGCAGGGAGGTGATACCAGCTCTGGAGCCCCACATGCCAGTCACCCTTGGCTTCCAGCCTAAAGCTACTACCACTGAAACCCAGAGAAGCCATCCTGGGGACTCTCTTGTCCCCGAGGAAGGTGGCTGAAGAGATGCAACACCATAGCCTCACCATGGTTGAGACAAGCCATTTGCTGGCTCTTGTCAAAGAACCCAGCAGCCCCATTTAGACCCCTTCAGCCTGACCCTTTCTACCGACTCCCAGGGAAGTTCCAAGGCCCAGAACTCTTCCCCTAAGCATCTCACCCCTTGTTTTCGCCCCCAAGGGGCCTGTGCTATGGAGATTTGGGAGTTCTCCCAAGCTTCCACCCACAGGCCATGGAAGTTCTGCAGGTCTTTAGCAAGCTTCCTGTGGCTGGCACTTGGGCCTCCTGGTATCCACCCACAGATTACCAACCACTAAGCCATGGACCCCCAACTCATTGGGGCCAGGACCAGGTCCCTGGCATTAACCTTGGAAAAAAGGGAGGAATCCCCTAGAAGGAAGTTCCTGTCTGGGTACAACTCCTTCTTTGGGGATTTGGGGCTCTGAATGTGTGAAGAACCCAGCAGTTATCACCTCTCAATTTGGGGTGGACTTCCATGTGGTTCTGCTCCATTTCAAAGCCCTCTGTTCAGAGGCAAAAAGGCTGCTTGCTGCAATAACAGTGAGAGATTCTCCAAGGAAGGCCCCTGGGAGATCAAAGCTTTGAGGAATTAAATGCTTCCAGTTAATTCATGGAAGGGATGATGCCAATGAGTGCCAGTCCCCTTGCATCTGGCCAGAGCAGGCTGAGCACACCTCATCCCCTGCCCCCACCTCCAACCACCTGGCCAGGAAATTTTATCTCCGCTCAGCTTGGTCTTTTTCTGGCTGAAGTCCCCAGCTAATGTGCCAGCTGAATCTGCTCCAACATCTGCGTTTTCTCTTCGTCTGAAGGTACAGCCTCAGTGGCAGCACCTGTTGAGGGTGGGCCGAGGGACCGGACTTGCCCCAGGACCTCCCCTGTTCCTCTTCCGGTGAGCTGATAGGGTACAGAACTGGCCCATGACATCTTCTCCAGGCCCAGTTAGTCAGACTGAGATGCAAGGTATTGATCTAGAGAAGATAGAAAGCCACTCTCCAGGGGAGTAGAGGCTGTGGAAGGCTCTCTGGGCAGCAAGTCACTCTCTCTGTCCAGGAACGTACATGAAAGACTGGCTGGTGGGAGTCCTAGTCCTTCTAAAGTTGAAAGCAAGGACGATCTGCAAAAGAAGCCACACGCCAAAGGGAAACGCCGAGGAGGCAAGACGCTTGGAAGCTCCTGGGAATGAAGCCAGGAGAGCATGTTTGAAAGGCAGGAAAATGGACGTCTCCTAAGAGGCGGTCTAACATGGCCCAGTTTCTGACATCACCTTTTTTAGGTGCGTGTGTACTCTGCTAGGGCCAGGGGTGGAGGGCTCCTTGACTTCTAGATGACCTACTGGGGACAAGAGTAGGGGAGAGAGGTACAGGCTGTGACAAGGGACAGAACAAGGGAAGCAATATGGCTCTCTCTGTGCTTAGGCATGGGTATGCATGTTCTAAGTGGCTGTCTCCTCCCAAGCCCCCAAATATTTACTATACAATGTATTTACTGGCAACAGGCAGAGTTCAAGGATCGCTGGGCAGGGATCCTCTGCTCATCAGCTCAGTCAATCAGGTTTACTTATTGATTTCCCTGCCAGGGGGATCCTCTTTCTCTCAAGCCTGTATTGTAGGCGTTTCTGGCTCACCCACCCACAAGCTTGCTGCTCCACCCCTGTCCTGCCAAGATGCCCTCTGCTGCTGTTATTCCAATGGATCTGGAAAAGTCTAATTGGAATTAGACTTCCTGTCCAAACAGAAAAGACCAGCCCTCAGGTAGGCTCTGCCCCCTGCCCACAGTGAGATGTGGGATACCTTTGCTCAGGTGGTGCTATTGAAATATTCCTGGGCCAAAAAGACTTCCTGACATCCTAAATGAAGAAAAGGTTCATTCAGGCCCATGGATCTCATCTTCGATCCTCCCCAGTGCTTTTCTGGAACTGGGCTGGGAAGGGGACACTTGGGACCACTTGCCAGCACAGTCCCAAGTCTTTAGCACACCTGGGAGTGTTCTGAGTGCCAGGCAGCTTAGGACATGCTGGGTGGAGAGAGCTGAGAGGGACGCACAGTCAGAGGCCTTACTTTTGACGCGTACTTGCAAAGCCAGAGCTGGCCGAAGAAAGGCAAGCTTTGCCTCCAAGGCTCTCTTCTTCCTAGCCCCCTCCTAGACCCTGGTTCTCCTGGTCTCTGGAGTTGTCCATGGCAGAGGAAGGACAAGCTAAGGGTGTTTCCAAGTACAGATTCCTACTGACACCATAGCCAATTTTATAGCCGCCAAGTGACCGTGTGCCTCAGAGTATTAGAGCGCCAGAGACTCAGATGGGCCAGAAAAGACCAGGGTTGTGAGGAGCCAAACTGCTCCAGAAGGTGGCTTGTCCCACCCCCCTCTAACTCTCCAACCCCAGTCCTGCCACAGCCATGGCCCACCCATGACTCTCTCTGGTGGCTAAGGCCCTGTGGTGTGCCGGGCCAAGATTCTCTTCTGGAGTCCATCTTTATCTGGGGGAAGGCAGCCAAGAGGAGGTTTGCTCTTGCCTGGACCACTGTGATATCATTTGTGCCTCAGCCTCCTTAGGCCAATTCCTGTCCTGTTTTTGTGCCCAAATTTCTGAGGAAGGCTCACCACTGGACTCACTAGCTGGTGACAGAGGCTGTGTATGTGTGGGGTGATGTGAACTTGTGAACTTAGCAGGGATGGGTGGTCTGGGTCCATCAAAGTCCACAGAGAGTCCTACATCTCAAGTTCTGTTTTCCCCAACATACAAACGGGGACCCATCAAGCCACTCTGTCTCTCTAACCAGTGTGGCTTGGCCCCTCTAGCAACAGTTCTAGCAGAGACTGTAAATGCCACCCCAGATACCAGTGCCTCCTGAGCTTTGCCCGTCTCCCAGTCTTTAACACAGATGTTGACAGTGACCACTGTCCAGAACGCTGACCGTCCTTGAGGCTTTGAGTTTGGGAGGCCTACTTCTGCTCTCTTGTCTGATACTCTGTTGAGAGGGCTCTTTTCTGAGGGTGAGCAAGGCCAAGAGCTATTGTTCAAGTGCACCTGGTGCTACTGTGTGCTTGGGCCCGGAGAAGCCACCTCCGTCTCCACAATGCCTCTTCCAGGAAGGTGATGAGCCCATCACAGAGGCGGATGGGAAGCTTTCCTCATGAATACAACCTTCACAGGGCTGCTGTGACTAATCGACATCGGAGCCTTGAGACCTCACAACTGAGTGCTCGTGATGGCCCTGTGGTTCCTATGGCATCACATTGTTCACGGTCCTTGCTGGCCTGTGGAGGCTCTAATTCTGCGGTTTTGTTGGAACCAAAGTTTCTGCCACAGCCAATGAAACAAGCTCAAATGAAGACTACCATAATCATCTTGGGACAATAGAGTCAGGGTAGGGGGACACATGGACAGGTCCAGAGCATGAAAACCCAGGAAGTCTCAACAAAGAAGCAGGATTATCTGTTCCCTCCAAAAGCTAGGACCCAAGCGCTGCTGGGCCCCCTTTACATCAGTCATCCCACCTTAAAGGTAGCCCCTTTTGACTCAGTCTCTTGGGGCTGAGCAGGCAGGTTTCCATGGTTCCTTTTCTTTAGAATCTTAGTCCTTTGGTTTAGCCTGATTAGGCAAGGTAACAGACTCCACACAGTACATTTTAGGGAGCAGAAAGGTACAGTGCCCATACAGAAGTCCTTCACGGTTTGTGAGGAAGTGAACCTCCTTGGTTCTTTTTGTCTAGAAAATATGCATTTATCTAAAGGGAGAGCAAACGGCACCTGCCCAGGCTGCATTCCCCAGTAGGAGAGTTCAAATCGTCCCACCTTTCTCGGATGCACACCACCTCCCCCTTCAGCATCCCACTGCTTTTGTGGATCATATACACATATGGCTTTGGCCTTCAAGATCCAGTATGTAAATCACCACCACCAACCATCTTGTCAGTTCAAAACCAGATGGGGGGAGGGGTAGATAGGTGAACTTCCCTGGGGAGTCTACCCCCTCAAGGTCAAGAAATGGGTGAATGTTAAGGAGAAAGAAAGTCCTTGGCAACCTTGCACGTATCCACATATATCATCCGAGCAAAGTCTTAAAAATGCAGCTAAGGTCATCACTGGCCTGACACCTGGCAACCCCCCCTCAGCACACCCAAGGAAGGAAGGAAGGGGTGGCCCTACCAAGTGGCTGCTCGGGGGCCCTCTCCCACTGGCTCTTTCTTCTCTGGAAGGGGAGATTGGCACAGTGTCTTATTGCCTCTGGGCTCTGGGCAGAGAGAATATTGGAATGGAAGGAACCCCTTTCCAGATATTTTCCACCAAAAAACTGGGACTGCTCTAGACCCATACTTTTGGAACTCAGGGTCCCAAAGATTTTCCTCTAATCTGTAAAAGACATTTCTGAGTTACTTAGCCTCGATCAGGTAAAGCCCCAGATCTTCTCCCTATTCCACTGACACACCGATCACATGGTCAGGAAATAGTCCCTAAATATAGTGGATCACTGCCCCCTCCATTCTATTATCCTAAGATACCCCAGTTCCACTTTAGAGCCCTGACTGGCATGTGCCCCTTCCTGTGGCACGTGTGTTGTTGGCTGGTCCAAGTCCCTTGATTTTTTTCCCTCTCTCTCTCCATGTCCCCTCCCAGACCTGTCACTAATTTCTGCTGGCTGAGATCTGACCTCAGTCTATTCTGGGTACCCTGTATTCTTCCTTAGGCACCTCGTCCCAACCCCTCATGCCAACATTTCTTCAAAAGGCTCACAGGTGTGCCGGACTTCAGAGGCAGCTCCGGTACGCATATGCCCAGAGGTGCCAAGCCTTGAAACTATAAGACCCCTATGCCCAGAGGTGCCAAGCCTTGAAACTATAAGACCTCTATCCCCAGAATATCTCACAGTATTAACACCTTTGGGCAAGGGGAATGACTGCTTGCCCGGGACGGGACCCAGATTCTCCATCCCACCCAGAAAGGCCTCCACCCCAACATACTACATCTATCGTGACGGTCCTGCAATGTCTGCCCTGCACTTAAGTGTTTCCATGTCTGCAAATCTTGTCTTTCTGGCGTCTATCCTGGATCTTATTTTTGCGACCAGCACCCACTAAACAAAAAGAGGCTCTGGACAGCAGCATGTTTGAGCAAAAGGCATTTCAATCTCTCTCTCTGGTACTAAGAGGGAGGCGCAGCAGCAAACGCTGGGCCTACAAAGGTCCTGGGATCCCTGCTCTCTCCTGAGCCCCTGAACGGACTCTCCTGGGGATCAAAGACAGTTTCCACTCTCAGGAAGGAAACCCTAAAAGGCTGTGTGGAGGGATGCAGGCCGTTGTTAGGGGATAGCGCGGAGACAGATCTCCGCGGCAGAGAGAAGTGAAAGCTGCCCAGCCTTCAACGTCCTGACTTAGATGAGCACCAACCGCCCAAGAAAAAAACAGTTGTGGGTGTGGCCACCTTTGTCCCCGCCCCTCACAGCCACCAACTGCTGATCGCCGTAGGCCTGGGGGTGTGGTCAAACCTGCTGCGCCACGCCCCTCACTGCATCATCCCAGTTCGGGGTGTAAGTTAGGTCAAGCCGCCCACACCACTCCTCTCGCTGCCTCCAATCACCGGTGCTGAAGCGGAGGTGGGGTTAGAGAGTGTCAATCAGCCTCTAGCCACACCCATAACTGCCTCCAACCGTCATAGTTGGGAGAGCCTGGGGGTGGGGCCAAGCCTTCAGAGCCCCGCCCTCTCCCATCCAGCTCCACCGACCTCTACGTCACTGGGCTCTGAAGTCCCAAGTAGTGTGTGTGCAGCCCTCCGCGACCCTGGACGACCAGGCCAGGGACAAGAACCAATTTAGAGAGTTTCCCGAGACATCCCTGATTTCAAATATTCTGTCCTGTTTTGTCAGACTGAACAACTCCCCCTGAGCTTTGGAGAACGTGCCCTGATGCACTTTGAGAGAGCATGAATTAAACTGCGTGGAAGTCTCAGCTAAATCGGATATCTTGACACACCGGATTGCCCCTGAGGCCCAAAAACCTCTTAGGGAGTGGGCTAGAGTGGTGACCTTCCAAGGTGTCGTACGGGAAATTACAACTGCATGTTCTGGTGCTACTCGAAGAGAGAGATAGGGATTGGGTGGTCCCGGGAGCTGGTGTCATTTCAAACAATTAGCCTGAAAGCCCTGGCCAGAAGTTTTGAGTACTTTTGGGCCCTGTTCCCATCCATCTTGAAGTCACGGGACTTTGCTTCCTCCACCAGCAGCGTCTGGATGCAAGACATGGATGTGCCGCCTGACTTTTCATGTCCCTGGTCCGGACAGCCCTCTCCTGCCCAGGATCATCTGTCTGTCCTAGGGTCTGGTCTGCTCTGCTCTGCCTGCTCTGCCGTTCTCACCCACCAAGGTTCCAGTCCAGGAGGGGTGGTGGGAGACAAGGTGCTCTCATGGAACTTGCTGGAAGTGCTGTCACTCAGTCTGCCACCCATCTCTGCCGCACTCCAGCCTCCCCCATCCCCAAAGTATCCCTATTCAATAAGATGTTTTAAGGAGCACACGGTAAATGAGCAGTTTAGAGACTCTGAAATGATCATTTTTCCACTGCCATAGATGCAGAACGTTTGTGGTCATGTTTGTGTCAGGTCAGAACTTGGGCCCCTGACTGTCCATCACAAGCTAAGCTTAGGCTCATCGACCTGTCCTCAAGAGGTCCAAAAAGTCACAACAAAAAAGCAGAAGATGGAGTTTTTTTTTTCAGTGTGGCCAAGCTGGGAAGAGGAGCAAAGAGGTCCAGTGACCTTTACGTCCATCTTGGGGGTCCTGACATGAAGCTTGGGTTTAAATAGAGGGCAAGAGGTATGCATAGCTAAGCAGTTCTTGTCAGGGTGCAGTCCAGATAACCCTGGAATGCAGGGGGGGCCTTGCAGCTTACTGGTCCACCTAGCCTCCTGCACAGAAAAGACAAGAGCAATCTTGGTCCTCTTGCCTCTGGGCATTAAAAGTAGAGGACTGAACTCCCAACAATTCTTCCAGATGGAAGTCAGAACCCATGAGAGGCCAGGCCCCTGAAGGCTGAGTCTGTGTCTTGTTATTTGTGATATTTCTCTTTTGGCCACAAGGAAGTAGGAAGCAGATCTCCAATGAGGTCTCGGGGCTCTGCACTACATGGAAACAACCAGTGAAATGGGCTAGAGAGTAGGTTAAAGACGGAGGGGCTGTGCTCCCTTCTAAAGTGGATTCAGAACTGTCTTGTGGTTGTAGGCATGTCTCAGGGCCAGAGGAGCCTGGTGGCCACTGTAGTAAAGTCAGGGAGGGAATGGAGGATTTGATCAAGATGGAGCAATGGAGCATGGCTGGTCTCATCTCTCAGAGCCCTTCAGTGAATTTGGGGGCAGCCTGACCACCCCAGCCAAACCGTATAGGACTCAAGGGCTGCGCCCCTGTCTTTCCCCCAAGAGCATCCAGCTTCACGTCATGTACACTACACCGAAGAGTACATAAGTTCATACTTGCAGGTCTCAGCTCACTCTTTTTTCATGTCACATTAGAGGAAATCTCCCAGAAGCTCTACCTGCTAAGGATCTTCATGCCCTTGAACACACCCCACCCCCTTCCAGAATCGTCAGGAGATGGGACTTTGCTGACTCAGCGAGCTATTGAAATATATTCCAGATTAACTTCACCTCACAAGATGTGGGGGTGTGTGTGTGATGTTTGGGCATGGGGTGGAGTGATATACAAATGATGGGTGAGTTTCTCCTTGGTTAGATTTTCAACAGGTTATTCTCAGGCAAAAGCTGGAACAGCTAAATCAAGGCTTGTTGCTAAAATCGGAGAAGCCCAAAGAGAGGAATTGGGCGCTTTGATAGAAGCTTCAGCTAGGGATGGAAGGAGATTTGGGGGGTGAGGAGAATCCAGCCACCTCCCAAGCTGCACTGATTGAGAACTCACTCATTCCTTGGGGCCTGATGTCTCTGGAAACAGATCTCCACGAGCTCTCTCCAAGCCTCTGCCCCGCCCAAAGGGGAGTGGTCGGTAACAGGCACATTTGGGGTCTTCTGCATCTCTCCGTCATCTTTGAAGCCCTGAGCTGATCTCACATTGACTGTTTAGATTGCCGTCCTAGAGATGGCCTTGCCCCAGGGTGGCCACTAAGAGATTGATAAACTTCTTAAATAAATTTAAGAAACTCAAGGGAAGGAATTCCTGTCTGGAAAAGAAAGATGGGCCCGTACTCGAATCTTGATAAATTGTAAAATCCTCCGCCATCATCTCCCAAGCCCATATCTGCCCCTCAGTCCTCTGCAACCTCTGGCACAAAAGCCATGGAAAGAATGAAAAGTTTAAAAGAAAATCAAAAGTGCTGCATCTCAGTGGTTCCCTTGAGTTGAGCATGCCAAGGCAGTAATGGCCCCCACGCTCCAGAGTACCAAGTAGAGGACCGTCACTAAGCCAGTGACTCGCCCTGGGAATTGTCTCTCTTAATTTTTAAAGTTTTCTTTTTTAATATAAACAAAACCCAGAGAATAGCATTTAAATCTGTTTTGTTGGTAAGACTGAGTGTAGATTCTACTCTGTCCTCTGTAGTTGGGGATGTTCTCTGAGGTACTGTGAAGTCAGGAATCTCTTTTTCCCCTCATGTCCTCTGTTCCCTCTTTTAACAGAGTTGGCTGTCTTGGGCACGCTGAGACAGTTGGATGGCAGGTGTGGGGGGGTAGAGTGCAGCTAGCCCAACCTCCTTATTCTAGAGATGAGGAGACTGGAGCCCAGAGAGGAAGGGCCTTCCTCCGATCCTTCAGCTTCAACATCGTTCTCTCTGCTTTCACCCAAGCCCCAACCGTCTGCTTCTCCTGTCCTGTGTAGCTCTTGGGATGTTTCGTATAGGCAGCCAGCTCCTGCCTTCTGTTTGGCGTGGCAAAGGCGGACCTCTTCTTGCTCCTCCAGCTCCGCTCCGCTCCTCAGGCCCACCCCCATCTGCCCCTTTCCTCGCATCACCCGATTGATGTGTAGGGCTCTCTCTTTTAGACCATTTCTCGAAGTAGATCTGAAAGCCCAGCTGTGGGCTGGCTTACATGGAGGGCCACTTGTACTGACCAGAGCTCCTCGGCTAGTCCAGTAATGGCAGGAGAGCTTGCTTCGCTTTTGCCTTAATCAGGGCACAGAAACTCCACCAGATGTTGCCTCCCAGCCATGGAGCATCACTCAGATCTTCCCTGAGTCATTGCCCCTAGGAAAAGCCAAAGCTTTGTTTAAAATGAGAAGGTTGTGCTCGGCTGTTGACACCACATTCTGGGGTCACAGGTGCCCATGGCAGACAGGCTGAGGTAGCAGTTGGCGCGCACACTGCCAGCTAGGGCTGTCCCCTTCTCTTTACAAATGGGGAAACTGGCACCCAGCTGGAGGGAGGGATTTGCATTGGGCCAAACCAGAACTAAAGTAGAAACGTTGGTCCAGAACCCCAGGCTGGCCCCAACATCCTCTTGCCGCTGAGGTAGTACCCCAGGCTGCTGACAATGGCACCTGAGCAGTCTCTCTCCTGTCACCCCCTCCCCACGAGGGGGCTGGCTACGCTGAAGCACTGGCTGGCCCCCCAGGAGACGCCCTGCTGTAGAAATGGGGTCCGAGGGCCACCCGAGGACCGGATCGGTACCGGATGTTCTAATTCCCTGGTATCCGCCTGCATTCCTGGCTCTGATGCTTTCTCCAACAGGTGGCTGTGGAAGCTGCCCTCCAGCTGCGGGGTCAGGTGACAAGATCCAAGTGTTGACAGAGAAAGATAAAGACCAGGAAACCGTTTCTAACATAGTTGGCCCGGAGCAGAGTAAATTGCCAGAAACGGCCTGGAAGAGGCTATAAAAGGAGAATAAAACAGGGTAGTCATTTATGTCATGTAGTAAAAGATCTGGGGAAGTGGTGCGGCCAGCGAAGCTTCATTCCCCACAGCTCAGTGGGTGCCTCACCACACTGAGCAGCTCTCAGCCAGGCTGGCAGCCCTAGAATTTTGGGAAGTCCCCTATCCCCATATCAAGGTGGGGCAGTAAAGGAAACTTGTCTTCCTACCGTCTTTGCATCTGTTCTCTGGGAAAGCACCTGGCCCCCTTCATACCTCAGGACCTCAAGCCCTAGAATCAAGTTCAAGTCCACTGGCAAACGCCTTACAGCAGCAAAGTGCTGCCAGCCCTTTATCTCATTTGATCCTTACAGAGACTCTGTGGGGTGGGGTGAGGGCATCTGAGGGTTATTAGGGGACTGGCTCAAGGTCACACAGCTAGTCAGTGGCAAATCCAAGACCTAGATCTAGGACTACCTGTTTCAAGATCAAAGTCTTTCTCAAACCCATCTCATTATTCTCACTAGGATTTAGAACTTTGAAATTCAGTCTGATGGTACCCACACTTCCAAGGTCCTCCCCATCGAGGAGATCCCAGAAGGGTGAAGACTTCCATGCCAAAGGGTGCCTACTTGAACTGACCCAAGGCTGTGACATGGAGAGATGAAATTCTAGAGGCAGGCTAGTAGACCCATGATTTCAGAATCTATGCCTGGGTTTGCGGGAGCTTTCCACTCTGCCTGGCTCATCAGGCAGGCCGCTGTCCATAGTCCTGAAAAACAGCTGTCCTACAGGCCTCCATGGGAGCCAGAGGGCCTGGCTGGCCATCACCTCCCCTTCCTTGCTAGTGATGGATTGCAATTGCTCCCAGTAGCCTGAGGCACATCCAGTGCTCTGTCTCCCATCTACAAAGTTCAAAGGTGAAGGCAAGTGGCAGATGGAGCGGGTTCCTGTCATGTCCTCCCAGGCCATGTTTGTAATGTGTTTGAACACGGAGGCAGGTGCCTGGAAATGAGTGTTCCCAGGCAGCCTCCGTCCTGTGACTCTTTCTTTGTTGATCTGAGGGATTTCCTTGGGGACTA